CGGGCTGCGCTCCGGCCCGCGGCGGAGCGGCCGAGCGTGTGCGTGTTCGGCGGGCGCGCCATGGACTTCAACATGAAGAAGCTGGCGTCGGACGCAGGCATCTTCTTCACGCGCGCCGTGCAGGTGAGGCCTGGCGCCGGGGCCCGGATGTGGGCGCGGCGGGTGCCGAAGGCGGCCTCGGGGTGCGGGGAGGCCCGCGCTGCCGCAGCTGCTGTGCGGGGTGCCCAGCGCTTGGAGTCGCGCCCGGGAGGGGGTGCGGCACTGGGGAGTTGGGGGCGTCTCTGACCCCCGCGACCCGCTGACTGCGTGGCCCAGGTTCCGTCCCGCGTCAGGGAGTGGTGCCGCGCCCGCAACCGGACCTCCGCGCCGACCCGCGGCGCCGGCATCCACCTCTCTGCCCTTGCCGGGCAGCGATCCTGGCCCCGCCGGGCGTTAGGAGGCCTGGGTCCCCGGCCCGGGGGCTCCACAGCAGCGCAGCCCTTGCCCCGAGACTCAGTCTCCCAGCCGCTACAATGGGCGGGTGGTCCTGTGCCGCCTGGGTCCCTTTTGCACGCTTGGATGGTCCGGCCGGAAGCCAGTAGTTATTTCCTTTCTCCTCCGGGGAGGCCTGTTTACTCCCCTCCCTAGGAATGGGGAGAGAGGGCGCTCTCCTTGGGAAGCCGCCCAGACCCTAAAGCTGAGGTTGGAGTGAGTCCACCATTTAGGGGAAGGAGAAGAAACGGAGGGACTTAATGCCACCGCGAAACGCGAAGACCTCAGCCAGACATTGTGTGATGCTTCTCCTCTGGCCTTGTAGGAGGGGCTGCGCCTTGCTGGATCTCAGTTTTTCCATCTGAGAAGTGGGGTGATTCTCCCTTGGGGGGGTGGGTGTAAGGATCTGTGGGACTAGACACACAGCGCTCATCGCAGTCGGCTTCTGTGCTGTGGGTGACCCCGCACCAGTGCCGCATGTGACCTTGGCCAAGTGCTTTTCTCCTGGCTCAGTCTTCTCTTCTGGGAAGGAGGTGCGGGCTGGGCGGGCTCTAGGGACCAGTACTGTTGTTGACTGAGGGAGCCCGCCCCAGCCCCTGTGGAAGCTCATGTGGCCATGTGTACTAGAAAGCGCAGTGTCCCGTGTTCTGATCCCGGGGAGCAGCCCTAGCCCTAGCAGGAGTAGGGAACCCAAAGCTGCAGTCCAGCTGCTGGTGGGGAGTCCTCGTTGGTATGGCAATTGCTTATCTCCCACATCACAGCTGAGTAGAACCTGATCCACCACTTTCCCGTGCAGACCGGGCCCTGCCGCCCGACCTGGGGCTGTGGCCTTTCTCTGCCTGATGGGTCACTAGCCCCAGGGTCCCTGCTGGAGGGCAGCCAGCATGCAGGCCCAACCGGCTGGGGCTGAGGAGGAGGGAGCCGGAGCCTTATAAATAGAGGCTTTCTCCACACGCCCACCCCCTGCTGCTGCCTCTGGGAGCAGCCTGGGCAAGAGTGGGACTGCCTAGGGCCCGGAGTGAAGCAGTGAGTGTGGAGGGCTGGGAGGGGCTCTTTAGGGCATGGTTTGGTTGGTTTCTTGAGGCAGAATCTAGTTGTGTAGCCCAGGTTGGCCTAGAACTTGGTGGCCACTCTCCTGCCACAGCCTCCCCAGTGCTGGGATCTCAGATGCATGCCCCCCAGCCCCAAGCACTGAGCTCTGCCATCTAGCAGGGACAGCGAGAAGGCTTCGCCCACCCTTGTGGGGAGCAGGTCTTGGCTCTGCAGGGAGGCATGGAGAGTGGGCCTTTCAGCTTCAGAGACCCAGAGTGGGGCCTGGAAGGTAGGGAGGGTGGGGCTCTCTGGGTGCCAGAGCACTGGGGTTAAGGCAGTGAGGCAGAAACCCTGGCTCAGCTGAGATGCAGGGGGTTGGGGGGAGATGGAGGGAGGTGGGAGGTGGGGGGCAGCTGAGCCCCTTTTGGCTGAAACTGCAGGCACCTGGAAGGCAGAGGTACCACAGGAAGAGCAAGAAAGGCTGCTGTCCTGCCAGGCATTAGCAGCACCCGGCAGTGGGTGGGCGGGGTGTTAGGAGAGCCAGGGAGGACCTGAAGCCAGGTGGCTTGGGGCCCAAGGGCCAGGCAGCCTGGTGGGCCTGGAGGACAGGGGCTGAGGTGCATATTAGTGTGACTCATGGAGCCATCAGGGTAGCTTTCAAGGGCCAGAGACTGACCTCAGGTGACCAGCTACCACTTGCCCAGCCAGGGCAGGGGGTGCAGCTGCATGGGGAGGGCTTGCCAGCACATGCAAGGCCCAGCTTCATCAACTGCATTGCAAGAAAGCAAAGAAAAACTTGATCAGGTGGGCGTGGTGCCGTGTGCCTGTAACCAGCGCTCAGGAGGCTGAGGCAGGAGGATCTGTGAGTGGCAGGCCAGCCTAGGTTACATAAGCAAGCTCAATGCCAGCCTAACCGACAGAGGCCTGCCTCAACAACAGCCCTGTTGATGAAGCCCGTAGGTGTGCTGACCAGTATCCCGTGAGATCCATTAGCCACATAGTCTAGGGGAAAAGTGAGCCCAGAGAGGTAACTTTCTGATACCTGGAGTGTGGGACTGGGCCAGGTCCCCAGGCAGAGATGGCCTGAGACCCCCCCCCCTTCACCCCAGTTTGGGGGCTGTAAGGGAGAGGAGGAGGCCAGGGCCCTCGCCTAGCTGAGCCCTCAGGGAGAAACTCGAGCCCAGCCTGCTACATAATTGATGCCTGGAGGAACCTGGCGGTGCTGCCTCGGGATGACTCATCACTGCCTCTCTGCAGGGTTCTGGCCTGCTCAGTCTCAGTGGCTGCATCCCAGAAATGGGACAGGTGACCGGCCCTCTGCTTTGGGAAGTCCTTGAAGTCCTGGGGTCATGTCCCAGCCCTGGGCCAGTCACGGATCCTAGGTCCTCTTTCCTTATCTTACACCTGAAGGTCTTTACCTTTTCACTGTTCGGCCATGACCTTGGACAGCCCTGTTCCCTGGCTGGCTTGTCCTGGGTGTCCCTGTTTGAAAAATGGGGACAGTTTGTCCCAGGGCCCTTGTAGATCAGAGGGACTAGGACGTGGACCCACTTCTGCTGTTCCTAGATGGTCCTTGTGGCTTCCGAGTGTACCCAGTGGCCGATTGTGCTGCGCTGGCCATGTTCCCGTCCACCACACCCAGCAGCCAGGCACTGAGCCCTCTCTACCACACCCAAGGCCCAGTGCCAGGCCTCCTCCCAGGCCCCCAGCTGCCCACAGAGTCCCTGATAAGCCTGGACCTCGTTCTGTGTTCCATCTGTTTCCTGCTCTCTTGCTACCAGCTTCTGTCCCTGTCCCTGTTTAGCCTAAAAGACCCCGGAGGTGCCTGGCTGCTGGGAGGGCTATGAGGGAGAGGCAAGGCTGTCCCTGGACGTGGAGAAGCCCTGACCCTCACACTCAGGTGCCCCACTTCTGCAGAGGGCAGCTGGAGCCCCCAGGGGCCTGGCCCCTGGCTGCTCTAGGAAGGTCCTTGATCTGGGGTGGGCTCCTCTCCACCCACAGTTCACAGAGGAGAAGTTCGGCCAGGCCGAGAAGACCGAGCTCGATGCCCACTTTGAGAACCTCCTGGCGCGGGCGGACAGCACCAAGAGCTGGACAGAGCGCATCTTGCGGCAGACGGAGGTGCTGCTGCAGCCCAACCCCAGTGAGTCTTTGGGCATGGGGCGCAGGGGCTGGTAGTGCCCAGTCTGCATGGAGGAGGTGAAGTGCCTGGAGGGGAGCCCAGGGGGAGAGGCAGGCCCCACACAGACCCCGTGGCTGGGGCAGGCAGGGACCTACGCCACTGATGGGCCACTGGTTGCTCTGCCCTGTGGCTAATGATGTGTCCCGAGGGCTTCAGAACCAAGAGTAGAGTTTTGCAGACAGGCCCTGTGTGCGGAAGAGGGAAGTGGCCGTGTGACCACCAACAGCCACGCGAGTGTGTGAACCCTGTGGGGAGAGGGCTTAACGGGAGCAGTCTTGGGGTGAAGGTGGGGAGGCGAGAAAATTCTGGGAGGCAGCAGGCTGGGCATTGCTGGGCTGTCTCCCCGCAGGTGCCCGCGTGGAAGAGTTCCTGTATGAGAAGCTGGACAGGAAGGTGCCCTCAAGGGTCACCAACGGAGAGCTGCTGGCCCAGTACATGGCTGAGGCAGCCGGCGAGTTGGGGGCTACCACGCCCTACGGTGAGCGGCTTTGCCAGGCTGGGGGCTGGAGCAAACTCAAGGTTCTGAGTGTAATTCCTGGTACCCCCCCACCCAAAAAAAATATATATATAACATCCAAGCACGCACACAAGTGATACCTGAATTCATTCTAACTGTAAAGCCGGGCATGGTGGCACGTGCCTGTCATCCCAGCACTGAGGAGGCTGAGGCAGGAGGATCACCACAGGTTCAAAGTGAGTTGAGACCCTGTCTCAAACAAACAAAAGATACTGTATTGTAGAAATCTCAGTGTTGCTCAGTAGAACAAAAAATGCACCCCTCCCTATCAGTTTTGGTTCGTATAAATCTGTTGGGTTTTGGTGCAGCCAGGGACTAGTGCTCCCTGAGCCGCAGCCCCTCCTGGCAAGTTCGTGGGGCTGCGCTGGGGGAGGGGCCCTCTCGTCGCCTGGCCAGAGCCACCCCTGCCTTAGTCACTTCATCTGTTGGAAGAATAACTTATGTGCTGTAGGATGTGCCTGGCTTCAGTGTATAACTCAGTCGTTTTAGTAGATTGATGGGGCTGTACGAGCCTCGTGCAGACCTACTCTAAAAGCACCCACGCCCGGTCCTTCATCCCGGTTCAGGGTCAGTCCCTTGTCCCCACTTCTGGCCAACCACGGTTGTGTTTTGTGTCTCTAGAGATTTTTTCCCTGAATATTTCCTGTAAGTAGAATTGTTACATGCTCTTATTTTGCATCTGGCTTCTTTTATCTGGTATAATTTTGGGGAGGCATTTGAGATAGGGGTTCACTATGTAGTCTAAGTTGGCCTCAGACTCATAGTGATCTTCCTGCTGCAGCCTACCAGTGCTGGAATTACAGGCCCGTGTCACCAGACTTAGAAACAGAAACAAATCCATTCTGACAAGTGCTGATTTTTTTTTTTTTTTTTTTTAAGTTTTGCTGTGTAGTTTAAGCTGGCCGGACTCCCTGGAACCCTCCTGCCCGTGCCTCTGTAGTGCTGGGATTACAGACCAGCACCACCACGCCAAGCCCCGGCACTGCCTTTTGGATGGGCGTGCTAGTCCATTAATTTTTTTTTAATTTATTTGTGTGTGTGTGCCCAGCTCAGCCCACCAGGGGGCAGGGCTGGCTGGCATGTGGTGCTGGGGGATCAAACCGTGGTCCCTGTGTTTTAGCTAAGCTTGTTCTAAGTAGGTGCTTTAGATCACTGAGCCATCTCACCAGCCCATAGTCCATTAATATTTAATGCAACCCTTGCTGTGGTTGGATTTTGTACTTTGCTATTGTTTTCTTTAGCATTTAGAGCTCACCATGCTGGCAGCTCCTTTATTGGCTTGTTTTATGTGGTAGATATTTCCTAGCATAACATTTAAATTTCTGAGGGCCGGCCAAATAGCTCAGCAGATTAAAGCTCCTGCAAGCAGGCACCGGGGGCCTCGACCCCAGAGCAAGCTGAGGCGGGCGGGCGGGTGGCGCTCCCTGTAATTCCAGCTCTTGGGAGGCTGTACACAGGTGGATCACTGTGCGTGCGATCTAGTAGTGAGACCCTGAATATTTTTTTCCCTGTAGAACCTTCCATACAAAATACACACACACAAAAAATTAAAAAATATTTAAATTTCTTCATTGCTTTAACTTTTAAGGTTTTCTTAGGGGCTGTTCTAGGGATTACAGGATGGACTTTTTTTTAACAGTATGGATCTTAGATTATCACAGTCTGCTTCTAAGTCACGCTATTTAGCTTCAAGTTCAAAATGGAAACTGCAACAGTTTAACTACATTCTCTCCCTTTCTCTGTGCTGTTCCTGGCTTCTACATACCATAAAACCAAGCTGTCATTTCCTGTAGTTGTCTTAGACCAGTTAATAGAAGAGAAAATTCTGTTATTTTTCATGTTTAACTGTAATCAGTTGCTCTCTATGGAATCAGGTTAGATCTGATGTTGTTGCCTTTGAACTTGAAGAATTTCTTTGCGTCAGGGTCTCACTGTGTAGCCCAGGCTGGCCTTGAACTCACAGTGATCTGTTGGGTGTCGGGGCCCTGGCCTAGGACCACCAATCTCATGCTCAGGAGTACAATGACAAAAGAAGACACAGACAAGGTGTGTTTTAGTTACAAAGGGCAGCCGGGATGTCCCGAGCCCCAAGTAGGGCCAAGAGCCCAAGGCTCCGTTGACTGTTGCGTTTATTAGGTGCACAGTTTGGCTGGGAGCGTGCTGGTGGGCTCCAGCAAGCAGCGGGTGAGCTGCTGATGCCAGGCTCCAGGACGAAAAGCACACGGGCCTGGACCGTGGCTAACTCGACAGGTTCGCCTCTGTCTGCTAAGTGGAGCTACTGAGCTGCGACCGGAATGCGGGTCACAGAGTCCTCAGCTGGGGTTGTTGTCTTGCTTTGAGGTGCCAGGGCTTCACAGACTGTGTGCTGATTTCCACCCTGACCCTTAGCTTAGGGCTGCACGGCATCTGCAGGCCAGCCGTGGGTCTCGCCCCAGGTCGCGACACACAGGCATCGGGCAGACTCTCAGTTTACTCTGTGCCAGATCATCAGCTGTTCTGTACGTATCAAGCCAGTCCTGCCTCAGCAGTGGTCCTCCTGCCTCAGCCTCCCAAGTGCTGGAATTGTAGGTGTGTACCACTGTGGCCATTTCTTATATATGCTAGAAATTTTTTTTAGTCTTTATCTGACTGTGACTTTATTCTGCTTCCACATCTGGAGGGTCCCTTTTTTGTATGTGGCTTTCTTGGATGAGGTCGCTTTCCTCCGGTGGTTATGTAGTCCCCTGCTGTCCAGCCTCCATCGTTTCTGGTGAGACGTGACCTACTGACCTTACTGTGCCTCTTCTGTGGGCGGACTGCTTCTCTCGGGCCAGGTCCAGGGACTTTTGCCTTTGTCTGGCAGTAACTGGCGAGGTGGGCTTTGTGTCCTTTTTCTTCTACTTAAAGTCTTGAATTTCAGAATGTTCGGGTGGTGTTCCTTCAGTATTCTTTCGGCCCTTTTCTCCCCTCTCCTGGAGTTGCTGTTACTTGATGTGTTGCTTCCTTTGTTGTTGTTACTATAGGCAGCTGGTAAGGTACAAATATTATAGGCAGGCAGGCAGGGCTGGGCCCTCGAGAGACTCAGGACAGAAGGCAGAGATGCACCAGGACCGTGGCCAGGGACACATCAGCTGGAGGCCAGGTCTACATACCCCCAAATGTAAGTGATAACACTAGGTCCAACGCAGTCTAGGTGGCATCAGTCCCCTCAGTGGGTCACCAAGACCCCCAGCTCCATCACCTACCTGAGAAGTTCTTTGATCTTTCCACGCCCACTCGGCCCTATACTTGCTTCTCATTGGATCACTACAGTCTTCTTGGATGACCATCGCTTGTAACCTGCATTGTACCCGCATGGTTGTGCTCTGTAAAACTTCCCCGGGGGGCAGAGGGGGACAACTCTTTCTCAAATTTTGGGGCCAGGGAGATAGCTCAGTAGAATAAGCACTTTCCTGGTAAGCACAAGGGCCTGAATTCAATCCCCGGTTTTGAAAAAAAAAACAAAAAAAACTTCCCCAGGCAGTGGTGTCTTGGGGCAGCCATCCTCCGGGTAGCCCCTCCTGTCCCTCTGGCAGGAGCTTTCTTAATAAATATTTCCTACTGTAGCCAGGCATGGTGATGCACACCTGTAATCCCAGCACTGTGGAGGGTGAGGCAGGAGGATCTTTGCAAGTTCAAGACTAGCCTGGGCTACAGAGTGAGCTCAAGGCCAACCTGAACTGCATAGTGAAACCCTGTCTCCAAAAGACTAAATAAATAAAAATTCCTACTTTTTTTTTTTTTTTTTTGCGGGACCAGGGATTGAACTCAGCCCCTTGCACTTGCCAGGCAAGCACTTACTCTACTGAGCCATCTCTCCGGACGCTAATAATTCCTACTCCTAACCTCTGTTGTTCCTGGGATTCATTCATTGATTTTATTTTATTTATTTTATTTTATTTTTGTTTTTAAATGTAGTTAGTACAGGGTGTACAGGGTTTCACTACACAAATCAAACTCGTAGTGATCCTCCTGTTTTCAGCCTCCCAAGCGCTGGGATTACAGGCATGGGCCACCACAGCCAGTCTCAGTCCAGCCCCGGAGCAGGGACCCAGCCCTCAGGGCTCATTCATCAGTTTAGAGAACACTTGGCGTTTCAGACGTGCAGCAGGTTGGGGGTGGCACTAGCTCCCTTTTGTCAGGTTTGCAGGTTCTGATCTCATCCCTGTGTCAGTGTCCCACGGACATCTGAGGCTCTATTCACTTTTCTTTTACCATTTCTCTTTCTGTTCTTCAGTCTTTTCCTTTTCTATGTTTCATATTGAATAATCTTTGTTGCCGTATCTTCAAAGTGGCTGATGTTTTCTTTTTGCCAGTTGGATGTGCTGTTGCTCTTCTACTGAATTT